GTTTCCCTTTCCTTCAAGGAACTACAAAGCACCTGCAAAACCTGAACCACACGGACTTAAATGGAAGGTGTTTGTTGGATGTTACTGCACAGCTGCGATAGGACAATTGTGTAAATTTAAAAAAAAATTGGACGCCATCCCCCACACATCACAAGTGATATTCCCACTCCAATTTTTAAAAATGTGGGTTTTGGTTGCATCTGCAGAATACACACACAGAAATAGAACTGGAGAAAAAAGAATGGTGCATACAGCAGGCACACAAATCTGAAGTCAGGCTTAAAGACTTGACTGCTCAGATTCTCTGGAGTAAGCTGTCAGTGCATAATGGGCCTTTGTCTCCCAGATCTCTGCTCCAGAGGAGAAATCAATTCTAGCAGCAACCACTGAGGTTTTCACATGCAGAAGAACCCATGCATGTTTTCCCCCAGTGCAAAACTACCCAGGTGGACCCATCTTTCACTTGATCTGTTCCTCTGTTTTCCTCTTGTTACATAATTGTAAACCTGCACACATTTGTCTCAGTACCACGCCTGAGTGCACAATTTCACTGCAAATCACAATAGATTTCTCTTTTAATATGAATAGTCTGGAAAGATAATACAGATAAGCCAACTTCTGTTCATCTTTCCTGAGGGAGCCTAGTTAGCCCAACATGAACCCCGAATGTGCAGACACAAAGGAAAAAAGAAGACAAAAAAAGTGAACGGGATACAGGGTGTATAGTAAAAACTCAGGCTACGTAAAAACATGACTATAAAAATGGTAACTGGCATGTGTAGAAACAACCGGGCCATTTCACTCATTCTGCATGTACACCTATAGAACAAAAGGTCCAGCTGTGTATGGCAAACATGTTATCTGAATTTATTGTCACCGCCTCAAGGCACAACTTTCTGTCTCATTCCTTGTATGGGTTGAAAATATGATATTCAAAATCACACTTGTGCCTGTGATAAATGATTCCAGTGATTCATTGGCAAGAGGCGGTTGTTTCCATGCACAACTGGGGGCAGGCTCAAATGCAAAGTTGTGTCAGTCTGACAAAAGACATAGAACAAAGAAAGGAGTTTTTCTACTTCTGTGTTTTGTTCTGATCTTTTTTGTTGTTGTTTTCATTGTTGATTGACTCTGCACATGAGACTAGGCCTTCTTAAGCTACTAGACAAGTGACATCACTTGTAGATTTTTGTAATTTAGACTTTAGATGTTTGTAATTTAAACTTTTGTAGCTTGGAGATTTTTGTAATTTTGACTTCTGGACTGAAAAAGGTCAAATCATTCAATTTCTGCTTCACCCCTGACTTCCACCACCATGAAACAACTAGAGTTGTCATCCAGTCTGTAGGACAGATTCATTCTGAGAGATCATTGTCCAGTGGAGTCTTCTGGGGTCATGGCACTGAATGGATGGAATGATTGTATTTCACAAAGCTGGCCAAAACTGCTCCAATAAAAATGCTATTTTTTAAAAAAATATTTAGAGAGTAAGCTGTTTGTTTGTTTAAGACTTTGCTTCACCATGGAGGCAGGGGCTGTGGCTCAGTAGCAGAGCATCTGTTTGGCATGCAGAAGGTCCCAGGGTGAATTCCTGGAATCTCCAATTTAAAAGGATCAGGTGGTAGGTGGTGTGAAAGACTTCTACCCTGGAGAGATGCTGCCAGTATGAGTAGACAGTACTGACCTTGATGGACCAGTGATCTGATTCAGTATAAGGCAGCTTCATGTGAGCTGTGCCTTCCAATGTACTGTGTACATGTGCACTGAAAATAAATATGTCAATTTGTCTTAAACTGTTGGAGTACAATTAAAACCACAGTTTAGCTGAAAATCTGCATTCTTCCACCCTGAAAAATCCCCTTCTTTGTTGAGTCACCTGCAAAAATGTTTTAAATGGCTGCATGGTTGATCAGTAAAACTTTATAAGGCATAATCCTCACAGCACTGCTTTTCCATAACCACATCCATTTCTGAAGGGCTTCTGTGCATGAATAACTACTGGAGTTGCCTGTGAATGAACATTAGGAGACAGTGTGTTGGCTTTTGATGTGGGAAGCCCGGGGTCAGATAGCCTGCTAAGCTGTGAAGCTCAGCTCACTGGGTGGCCTTAAGAGAGCCAATCTTTTTCAGCCAGACTCCTTCACGGAATTGTTATGAGGCGAAAAGGCCACTCTGACCCCTTGGAGAAGAAATCAGTTGCAACTGTAGCAAATAAATAAATAATACAATATTGGATCTGGTATGAATGGGCTTTTATTTTCTTCTCTTCCTGCCTGGCTGCTAAGCCATTCTCTTTTCTCTTGCAGGGGTATTCCAGGGAAGAAGTGTGGCACCATCATCCTGTCTGCTGAGGAACTGGGTAACTGCAGAGTGAGTAATTCCCTGCCCTGTGAGCTTCTGGTCATCTCACTGCTCCTGATGATTGTGTCTGAACAGCAAGAAAAGCTCTCCTCTGCTATGGGGAGTATCACACAGTACAGGGTGCTACACTATCTTGAGTCTTTCATACCCTAGTACTTAATTGTAATGAATTATTTTTTGGGGTAGAGCTAATGAATGTGTGAAAACAGTGACTATGCAGAGAGATGCACATAGATTGTGTGCCTAAATCAGAAAGAACATAGTATCTGGGTAGAGGTGGATGAGTTGTTGGTCTGTGCTCAGAATTGTATGATTCCTAGGGTAGCTTCCCACATTGCACTGTGGACACTAGGTTTCTTTGTCCCTCTTTGTGGTACTAGTAGTAAGCTCTCAGTTATGCATACTCATGTGGTACGAGGCAAAGCTGAAATATTAGGAAACATTGCCCTTGTTAGTGTTTTTGTGCTTTCTTGGTAGCTGCTTCCATGAATGCAACCGTGTGCCTGGTGTTGTGGTACTAACAGTGTGCAATGGGAAAATAAGCCCAATATTTATGGTATTATCTTTGTGTACGTAAAGCAATGCATCTTTGTGTACGTAAAGCAATGCATCTACATGCTTAAAGATGAAGAGCTACACTAGCATGCATTACAGATCACTTATCCATTAGTCCCCCAGCCTAACATCAGCATGGATCTGCAACCTCTAGACAACTAGTTTCCAGAACTGAAAGTCCTTCATCAGAGAGTTCTATTCCCTGGCTCCACAAATATGCCACCGAACATCCTATACACTACAGATATGCATATGCTTCCTCTACAGTGGTAATCTTCTGCCTTTCCAAACCAAGGACCCATTAGGTGGCAGCATGGGACACAGTAGCAAAGCATCCTGTAGAGCATGAGTGGCCAAATTTTTCAACCTGAGGGCACAATCTGAGTCTATGCCCCCCCCTCCTCCTCCTCCTCCTCCTTCTTTTGCTATCAAGTCAAGCTGACTTCTCGCAACCACTAGGGGAGCATGCAGGCAAGGGACCTTCAGAGGTGGTAGTCTATGCCCACTCTTGAAGAACTGAAGGTGAACACTGGCTCTTCGTGTTATAACACTGGAAACAGAAACAGCTGGTGCCCAATTTCAAGCCCCTAGAATTGGCTGGAGACCACGATGTGTCCCTCTCTCCTGCTCTGCTGCTCTTAATGGAACTCAGCCTTCAAAATAATTAACAGCTTTTCAGGAGCTTTGGACATCTCTGCTGTAGAGACTAATGGTGAAAAAAATCATACATTTTGCAAAGGAAAAGTCCTTGTGTGTGGAATGAGGCCTTCCTAGCATTATCAGTCTTGAACTTGGGACCTGTGGGAGAGGCAGAGGGGAGTTGATATGGTAGAGAGTCACCAAGTATTTGCCTGTGTGAATCCAGCAGTTCAAGTATTGGTCACTGGAGTTCAGAACCTCTTGGCTGCCATAACCAGCTTGTTACTACCCTCAAATAGAACAAAACAACACAGTTGGCGTACATCTTTTAAGAGAAACACAGGCCTGTCTAGACGCCAGCACAGGCAGACTATTTCTTTCTCTCCCACATACAGAAATGAATACAAACAGTATCACTGCATTTTTCTCACCTCCTCTCGCCCATATTTCTGATGTCTGCAAGAGTGGGAGAAACCAATTTATCTCCTGCACAGACAAAAGTAATCTTCTTTTGCTATCATACACGGGCACATGTCGGATCACCACAATTAGAAAACAAGTGTGAACTTGTGGGAGACTTACGGGAGACATTTAATTTCCCCCTCCTTCACTCTTTCCTTTTCCCTTTTCTAAAAGTCCCCATAGCCTCTCCCCTTTTCCTGCTTCCTTCTCTCATTCTAGGGTTGCCAACCTCCAGGTGGGCACTGGAGATCTCCTGGAATCACAACAGATCTCCCAGCTATGGAGATCAGTTCCACCTTAGGGTTGCCAGCTCCAGACTGGGAAATTCCTGGAGATCTAGGGATAGACCCTTGGGAGGTCAAGGTTTGGGGAGGGAAGTGAGCTCAGCACAGTATAATGCCATAAAATCCCCCCTCCAGAGCAGCCATTTTCTCCAAGGGAACTGATCTGTGTCATCTGGAGAACAGTTGTAATTCCAGGTGATCTCCAGCCCCCAATTGAAGGCTGGCGACCCTATCTTCTTCCCACCCAAAAGCCAACCTACTTTTTCCTAGCCCTCTGTCTTCAGCTCCCCCCCCCTCCCGGTCAGCCTCTACCTAGGAAAACTGTAGCCCAGTTGTGTGGTGTCAGTCACTGGGCTAAGCCCACCTGCATGGCAAGGAGCCCTCAAGGACTTGTGAGGTGGCACTCACTTTCCCCTGTATCCCCTTTGTCATTTTCATATTTTTTAAATGTATTTTTTATAGTTCACATTTTTCTGCAAACGTGGGGCCCATTTCAGGTGTGTAGAAAGATCTGTCTTGCCTGTTCACAGCTCCAGTCACTGGGCTTAAGTATCCAAAAACTGGCCAACTTCACTATTAGAATATAAGATGCATATACCATAATCCTTCTGTACACAGGTAGGTACTTACGAGCATGCTTGTACTGTTGCATCCACACATCAAGTTCTCAAGCTACAGACACTAGAACATTACAGTTTCTTTCTTAGTTGCTCTTACATGAATGCATGTGTGCACACGCACACACACAAATTACATTTATATATCCTTTTGATTCAAGAGAGGCACTAACTGCATGTAGGTGAGTGCCTGCCATCTGTTGTGCTATAAAGAGAATTAACACCCATTTTGAACTTAAAGAACCGAGACAGAAGCAATTAACTCCGCATGAGCAGTTCTGCCGCTTGTGATAGAAGCTGACTTAACTTTTCCCCTTTGTAATGTATTCAGCCTGACATGCCCGGACTTGCCCGGGCTGGCCAGGCACAACTCTTCAATAGCTTCACGTCCAAAGACAATGGGTCCGTAGGATCCTAGCCGGCCCAATCAAAGGGCCAGCTTCTCAGCCGGGAGACCAATGGTCGCCCGGTTACTGTAAATAGCCTATCGGGAGTAGGGGGTGTGTTTAGGTGTACTTGGTGGCGGGTTTTCTGAACATATATAACCAGCCTGCGAGCTGGTCCCTTCGTCTTTGTCCTGAACTAAATAAAGGTATGCTTAGCTGAAATCGCTCTCCGTCTGCATACTTTTCACCCTTCATGTGAGTGATGCTTGAGAATGGGTGGTAGGGATTTAACTGTGCTTCCACACAGTGCTTTTTCCCCTTGCATACTGACTTGTCAACAGCCTCAGGTATTTCAAGCAACATCATGGCATGGAACTGTTGCCATGGTAAAAAAACGCAGTCAGCTGATTGATGTGATGACATGGGAGCAGGGGAATGTTGCAGCAGGGCACTACCTCTATGGGCCACATCATAAGTCTCACTGGTGCCCATTTTGACCTGGATCTTAGCAACCCGTGTAAATTCCAGAAAGAATAATGAAGGTTTCAGGGGAATCTGGCAACTGTACAGCTTTGCTGTTGGGAATCATTTACCTCGTTCCCTTCACCAGCGTTATCTGAGCACCACTTTCCATGTTTAGTAAGTATGTCCAGGAAGCAGGAGATTATACCATGGAAATGGTAGCAGGTCATGTGACAAGAACTGGCTTTTACAAGTGCTTCCAGTCAGGCTTGCTTCTTTGACTTGAGGAAGACTCCAGTGTCTGCTGCTGCTCATTGCTACAAACTGGCATTTTTGCCAGTGCATTGTCTTGTCCATGCAACATTGCCTTACATTGCTTCTTGGCCTTGCTGCCTTCAGTGACTTAGCAAGAGCCAGTTCCTGACAAGACCTTATCTACTGGGACTTTGTACATTGATAAGGAGAAGCCAGCCATGAAAAATTGCACAGTCCCTGGCACGTGTGAACTTGTGGGTTGGATAGATAGCAATGAATGTCAGCAATGGCTGATCATGGAGCACTTCTGGCAATGAAATCACTGGCCCCTGGCTCCTTCTAGAGAATGATGGAAATGGTGTGGGAATGGCAGTCGCTTCCTAAGAGGGGCTCCTTCAGAAGTAGTGATTTGCATAGTGCTTTTGTCCTGGCAGCACTGTTCTCACTCACTGCTCCAAAAGTAGGCCCATTCTCATCTGTTGGACATGCTTTGCACAGTTGCAGCAGATGCAACTTCTAGGAGAGTCTTTTACTTTTGTGCGCAGATCAGTGCTGCCAGGTCTGACGTGACATGTTAGCCTCTTGTATGCTGCTTCAGGCTCAGCAGGGAGACACTCCCCAAGTCAGGGTGTTCAGAAAGCGGAGTTACCCAGAGTAAAAGCTGCACAAAAGAGAAAGTGAACCACCATCTCTATGGCTAAGCAAGGCTCTCTCTCACTCAAGAACCCTTTATCTTCTGTTCTAAGGTATCTTTCTTCATTAATCATCTGCTACAGGACAGACAAAATGAATTGTCGAACTTGAGAGATTTGTAGCCACAGGATGTAGTGATGGCTACTAGTTTAGGGTAGCCACAGGATGTAGTGATGGCTACTACCGTAGTATAAGTGGCATTAAAAGAGCATAAGACAGGTTCATGGAGGTCATAGGTCCATCTGTGGCTATTAGGTATGATGACCAAATAGTAGAACACTCTGGGGAGACAACAACAGGGAAGACTTGGCCTCTGTGCTGTGTTTGTAGGCCAAGTTGTCCATTGTGTGAAACAGGATGCTGGATTAGATGGACATCAGGTCTGATCCAGCAATGCTGATCTTATGTTCTGCATTTCCATTTTCTTCCCTCTCTTCATCTCCACTCTGCAACCCAAGAAAAGCTTACTGTTGGCCATCTCAGGAAGGTGTCCTCTAGTGCTAAGGGGACGATTGACCAATAAAACCAGAGGGCTGTATTCAGGAAAATGTTGAGGAATTTCCCATATTCCCTTTCTGGGCATTTGTACTTCTTTGGACCTTCAGGAATCACAATATCATTCCCTGCCAAGCTCTAATTGGGGTAAATATATCAAACCTGGGCTGCATCCACACATCACAGGATATTTCACTATAGCAGTCATTTGCAATTGGATTGGCATGTCCACAATACCATATGATTTCTGTTGTGCAGTGATGCACAATATCCAGTGATATGTGGATGCAGCCCTGCTGAATTTTTCTGCCATTCTGTATGCTTTGCTGCTGCAGTTACTAGGGATGTCAGTGCTATCATAGAAATGGATGCTTTCCAGATCCCCTCCAGTAAACCTGAAAATGTGCACATTAAGTGGGGACAAAGCACCCACTCTGTGTTCAAAAGTGTCAACCTGTCTCTCCACATTTGATTTTGGCTGCCTTTGAGCAAAGCAACTCTCATGTCTGATTTGCGTTTCTCTTCTGCCTTTTAGTTTAAGCTCTCAAAAAGCACTGGGTAATTGTTAAGTGTCCAGATGGATAGATGGGAACAAGAAGAGGAGGGGATCTGCCCAAAATCACACAGCATGGCAGTAACACATGCAGCCCTTAGTCCCCTGTTTTGCTTTTGAAGCTGTGCTGGGCTCCTCCCTTTCACTCAGCTATAGTGGCATCCTTAGAAGAATTAAGTGCTTATATGTATATGGTGAGTCACTCACTGCCTAGAGAAGAGGGGCAGCTGCTTTCTGCCTGCAGCCAATACTAGCTGGTAGCTTAGCAAAAGAACTGAAGAAGGATTGTGCAGTGAGTTAAAATCACAAACAGCCTGTGAGGTTTGCCATTCATCTATTGTGATTTCCTCTCATGCCTGTCTATTGCTTGTCAAGCATCCAAGATCTCATCAGACTTCTCATCTCAGATATGACACCTCTAACAACACAGCGATCCTTGGTTCTTTGCACTATGACACATTTGGCTCTGCATTGACTCAGGGTTCATTCAAACCAGAAAGGCTGTCTGCTTTATCCCCATCCTTAAAGAAATGTCGCTGTGATCATGACATCATTTATTTAGATATCTGGGTTTTAAAAGGCAAGACTGTTAGTTCCTTAACTTTGGAATACATTGGAGTTTTTGTCATTGGCACCCTCCAAGGACCTTAATCCAAATTGTTGGACTAGGTATGGCCTTTACTGTGCCACTTAGTGGGCCACACAAGAGCTCAAGCATAAAGGAGTGATGATGAAGGTGTCTCTGTCTATGCCAGCACAAATAAATGTAGGTGCAGATGAAGGAGAACAGGAGAAGAACATCTATAGAGAATGATAATTGCTACCCTGCACTGGATCAATGAGAAGGATTGTCTCCAGTGTCCTCAGCACTACAAATGCACAGATCACTGTGCAATGCTGAACAGAGTTACCCATGTCTAAGCCCATTGACCAATGGACTTAGAAGAGCGTAACTCTGTTTAGGATGACATGTAAGTATCTTATTTAAGATACTGAACTGGTTTGTGATTCCATGGCTTTCAGGTAAGATGGGTTAACACTTCTGCTAGTATAATGTTTCATTTGTGGGAAGTAAATAAACCATGATGCATACCGCAGGGCCCTATAATTCCCAATTAACTGTTTCTGATCTGCAGACAAAATACTGCTACAGATTCAGAGCATACTGGAACCTGGGACTGGAATCTTAGGGTGACATCTTTCAAAAGTTTGATTTTGATCACAAAAATTAATGTGACATTAATTAACAAATATGCAGATTAGGAGTGTTTTTTTAATCCAAACCTGAATCTTTCAAGTATAATAAAGCAACAAAACCCTGTATAGAATTTGGATGGGTTTAATCTCAAAGGACCCAAAACAAATATTGAATCAACTGCCTAATTGATCACATCAGTCCTATCACAATCCATAACATCTTCTGGAATATCCAAGGAGCCAATTGATACACTGAAGATCAAAGCATCAATGTGCCTACCAGAAATGGGGGGGGGGACCTTTGGTTTTACAATCAAATTGTCAGATGCTGGCACTAAGCAAGGTTAAAAAAAAGTCTAAATTCTTAGACATAACGTTATATTGTTAGATATCTGGGTGATCAGATGCCTTAGATTTTTTCCAGCCTTGCTGCTCTCTATTTCAGACTATTCCCTTACCTATCAATGAACCTTTCCTTCAGTGATGATCATTAATCCTACCACCACCCCTTTACCCTCCTCAGTAAGCCTAGATGTTTTTGCCCTGGATTCTGACACTGTATGCATTGCATACTTGGAACTAAATGGATGAAGGGTTTTTTTTTCATGTTAAGGCAGTGGCATTGTTTATATTGCATACTTGGAACTAAATGGATGAAGGTTTTTTTTTCATGTTAAGGCAGACATGACATATTCTGATTTCTATTCCAAGGATGTGGCCACAATGCAGTTCTGTGCCAATAAACTGGACAAGAAAGATTTCTTTGGAAAATCTGACCCTTTCATGGTGTTCTATAGAAGTAACGAGGATGGGACGTAAGTACAATTGCTTTTATCTTGAGGCTGAAAATTTACTCAAATCAGAAAGGTGTATAGATTGCTCTCCAGTCTTCTGAGCAGTTCCTCCTTGCTGTCACCTCCTATGGATTTATTAGGAGTGCTACTGTGTGGTCTTAAGTTCTGACTACTATGGTTCCAATTCTACAGAATAGTCTTCCAAAAAGAAGGCCTTCCCTTCTGGCCTTCAGAGAGCTTTGTAAGGCTGATCAGGAGGGCTTTTGAAGGCAGCTGGAAGTGAACAATGTTATTTTGTTCTACAACATGTTGTATGGCATTAGTGTTATGCTGTGAACAGCTCTGAGAGCCTTTTGGGGAGAAAAACAGGGCTAAGGAGTTTAAAATAAATAAACCACCAAACATTCAAAGTATGGATCTGTCTTCTGGCTCCAAGCAACCAGATCCTTTCTTATTCAGTTGCCTAAGAGAGATAACAACAGTCTTTAGCTGGGATGCCCCAAAAGCACAACTGAATGGTATAAAAGAGAATCTTTTGGGAGTAGACCTAAGAGGTAGTTGCCAATCTAATGATTACCATCTCTCTCATACTTAAATATTATTAATGAATCAGGGAGTCAGGAAGTAATATTTTTGTAATACCGTGTTTCCCTGAAAATAAGACACTGTCTTATATTTATTTTTTCTCAAGAAGACACACTAGGGCTTATACCACAAATGCATAGAAATCCTACTAGGGCTTATTTTTTGGCTAGGTCTTATTTTCAGGGAAACAGGGTACATGTTCTGTTGTAAGGCCACAGAGAATCAGATACATGGTATGGTGTGGATGCCCTCAGACATTCTTTGCCAGGCAGAGCATTTTGTATATGCATGGAAGCATCATCACTCAAGGGTAATACTGTCAAGAATTGTAAAGTGTGAGGAAGGAGGAGTGGAGGAGAGAATATTAAACTCAGGCAGGATGGGAAAGTGCTTTTGAACACTCTCATCTTTATGAATGTTCTGTGCTGCTCTGGGAGAAATTAATCCGTTTTAGCCTACCCATTTTTGCAACCTTAGCAAACCTAACTAATCAATGACTGACAGCTGGCCTGATGTGTTTTCTTTGTGGATCTGCTTGGACTGGAGTGATTCTCTCAAAATCATTTCTTCTGTGCAACTCAGGCAAACTGATCTACTTTGGCTGGGCTTTTAAACTTGCTCCTAGGTATGCAACAAAGGAGAATTTAGCACCCTGCATGTGGTAGCTTTTTGATTTCAGAAAATATTCTTTTGAATACACTTTGGACTGTACCGCAGAAAAATTAAAAATGATTTTGTGTGTTTTTTTAGCCTGAAATCACACATGCATTGTAAAACATAGGAAAATTGTGATGCAGTTATGAATCAACAAATCCCAAACCTAATAGAAGCACTTTTAAAACTGCCTTTCTGTTTTTCACACGTGCACACCAACAGTGGGAAGAGTACTGAAAAGTGTCTACCATGTCCCTGGCGAATTCAGTTTTAAAATGATTGACAGGAAGTTGGATAATGGTAGCTCTTAATGAACTTGAAGAGAGGATAGCAATATAGCAGTGACTGAGACAAGCTATCTAACTGTTCAAAATCATCAAAGGCAAACTAAAATAAAGCCAAACTTTCTTTGGAACGAAGAATATCTATCTTAATTTTCAAAGTGCAAAACTGACATCTCTAAAGAGGTGCAGGCAATTGTTCTGGGAGGCACAGGTTTCTCTTTGCTTCCTCTACCCAAAAAGAGTTATGTGCATATCTTCATTAGGAGAGGAAGTAGAGGCAGTAATCCATGTACTCCTCTATGTTGAAATGGTAGTGCTAGAGGCAGTGGAATGGCCCCCAAGTTTTAGGTCCCTCAAAAGGCTGCTTTTCAGTACACAATGGATTAGTTGAGGGAGATCCAGACATCTGTTCACCAGGTGACACTTCTGCTACAGGGCTTCTCAAACAACAATGTGTTGGCTGCTTCCACATAAGGGCACCAAAATGCATCTCTGCCCACTGGGGCACAGGCAGCATGCAAGCAGGTGGGAACCGTGTCCACTTGCCCAGTCCTTACACTGCCCAGTATTGTCCTCACCCATGCCTCTCCCCCTTTGCCTCCATTATGTTGGTACAGAGGCTACAATGTGACCATGACACTGCCCCTCATTGCCCAGCAGCCCTGACATTTCCCATACACCACAACTCGGGAAAAGAAATGTAAAAAGGGTCTTAAAGGGTGCAGAATGCAGAAATTAGCACCACCTCCCCCCTACTGGCTGAGGGTGGAGCATCTAGGATGCTGAGCCTGCAGTCACCCCACAGTTCCTCCTTTGAGCCCGACAAAGGTAGCTTTCTTCTGATCCAGTTAAAAAAAGGAAAGCTCCATGAGGCCCATGAGTTGTGTTCAATGAACACCACATCATATGGAAGTTCCCATGCACAGGCATGCTGCTCTCCATTTTGGGGTGGGCAAAAACAGCCATTATTTCAATCTTTTGGGAAAATGTAACTTTATTCCTCCTGCCTGTGTGCCCATGATACATGCAACTTGTGCTTTCTGGAATGCAGTTGTGCAAGTACCCAATAGAAGCTTGTTAATGTCATGGGCTGCAAGCACAATACTTCCCCTCATTCATACATACACACTTTTTTCATTTCTTTAGAGACTAAGCAGTCTACTACTATCATAAGCAGAAATATTTATCTTAGTTCTTTGTCAACAAAAAAATGGACAAATATTAAGAAACGGTGTCTGTTGCTTCAAAGCAGTGCGTTACCATATTTTAAATGTAAAAATGTAGTATTTGGAAGGGTATGCACGTCCTCTTGGAAGGGTATGCACACCGCCAACATTGTGTAGTGGTTAAGAGAGGTCGATTCTAACCTAGAGAACTGGGTTTGATTCCCCACTCCTCCACAGGAAGCCTGCTGGGCCAGTTACAGTTCTATTAGAACTCTCTCAGCCCCACCTACCTCACAAGGTGCTTGTTGTAGGGAGCGGAAGGAAAGGCGATTGTAAGCCGCTCTGAGATTCCTTAAGGTAGAGAAAAGCGGTGTATAAAAACCCACTCTTCTTTTTCTTTTATTTCTAGGAGTGGTGCACACATCTCTAAGAAATGTTCACAAATACAGTTCTTCCCCCTACACTGTCTATCCCGTCCTTCCAATACATAGGCTCAGAAACAGGATATCCACTAACACCTCCACATCACTCCCTCTCAACCAGGATATTGTGCTACTACCGTGTTTCCCCGAAAATAAGACACTGTCTTATATTTATTTTTTCTCAAGAAGACACACTAGGGCTTATACCACGAATGCATAGAAACCCTACTAGGGCTTATTTTTGGGGTAGGTCTTATTTTCGGGAAAACAGGGTAGTACAGAATCATCCTCACGCTAAGAGAAAAGAGCACTCTTTTGTTCATTTTGTGTTTTGCTAACGGTAGTTAAAGGACTGGCTTATTACTGCTTTATGGCCTTGGAGACCAACAGTGCCAGGCTGTATGACTATTAAAGTAATCCATTTTGGTCTTGATCCAACCCTGTGTGAATATTCCCTTGTCCATGGATGTTGGCAGAATCTAAGTGTCAGAGGTGGGAACTTTAATGAGGTTGTTGTTCTGTGTTCTTCAGTGTCTACCCTAGGGCAGTCTCTGAAGTTAATTCATAACATAATTGGCCTTTTGTATCCTGCCAGGTTTACTATATGCCACAAAACAGAAGTGGTGAAGAACACTCTGAACCCTGTCTGGCAGTCCTTCTTCATCCCTGTGCGGGCCCTCTGCAATGGGGACTACGACAGGTACCAGTGTCACAGAGCTTGGTTCAACTTAACAGCTGTGGGTGTTTTTTCTTGAGAGGGAGGGATGGGGGGAGGTGTTAGAGGAAATCAATGTTAGATGCCAAAAAAATGTCCTTTGTGCCCAAAATGTATAAAGTACTCTCACACAGACCTCACTGCTTAGCACCTTCCTCCAGTCACTCTTTCAAGTCTCCAGGGGATGTTATTGTTTCTTGTGAGGTGCGGGCATTTTGGTTGTTGATGTTACAGAGTGGTATCATGGCTTTCTGAAAATTCTCCAGCAGCTGTTACCCAAATATCAGATGACAGAGACAAATACTGAGGACTATTGCCTTCTTACCTTTCTTGTAGTCTTTCCAGAGTCCCCATGCTGGTCATAGTTGGAAACAGTATCAAATGTACCCTTGGCCTGATTCTATAGGGCTCTTATGTTCAAGATAAGAAGAGTACACATTGAATGATAATAGTGCCATGCACCATATAAACTGTCCCGTCCTGAAATACTGTAGTGCAAAATATTCTTTCTCCCTTAACCCAGCTGGAGTCTTGAAAGAATCTGTCTCTGTTTGAAATCCTGGAGCTCAGATTTGTTCTAAATTACATGGTTCTTGTTCTGTGTCAGCATTACTGAAGAGGCAAAAGTGTGGGGGTGACTCCCTTGGGAAGTCTCCCTCCTCCTCACAGATGGGAGAGAAATGTGCTTAGGGGGTGATTGATGGGTGGAAATGAACCACAAGGCCTGGGAAAGGCCTGATTGGAGAAGCTCTGGAGATGGATAATCTGCTTTGTTCATAAAGGCTGCTACTATGCCTATGCCTAAATCTGCAGAAAAGGTCAGTGGCAGTTCAAGAGAGATAGTCTTGTGGGTGGGGGACTGACAGTAGTGTTAATCAGGCTAATAAGAGTTCATGGTATGTAGGGAAGCTAATTACAGAAAGAATAATTGGGCCCAATACCTTTCACTCAGCTAGAGGTTGTTGTAAAACACAATCGCTTCTGCAAACACCCACTTTTGCACAATAGCTATACTTTCATTGTAGCTGTTACCAATATGCGCTTTAACATTTGCCATTGATTAGAAGATCAGTGCTGTGTTGTATATTCACATAGCCTAGTGATTTCTGATAAAATGGTCCCTGTACGCAGTGCAAAACTCAGAATAAAAGCAAAAGAGGAAACCCTATTATGATTAAGACCCTGTCCTGGGATTTTTAAAAAATCATCTCTCACCTGTTTATAGTCATTCTCCAGAGATGGGCTGACAGCACATTCCACTTTATTTCATGCTTCACCTTCTTCTGTTCTGTAATAGGATTTCCTATAACTACTTTTCTCAGACTGGTCTTCGGGGGAGATATTAAAGCAAATGTGTGAAACAATATCTTTTATATATATATATATATATAAGTCCTAGCATATTGGCAATTTCCAGCTCTCCCATTGGCTGTGCTGTGTGCTCCATCAGCCATTGGCCCATCAACTGCCACTCAAGAGGACTTTCATGCCATTGGCTGGGTGCTGGGTCCACTCCTCTCCCCTGCCCACAGCTGGCTTGGCCACTCTTCCCTGTCGGAATAAACTGCCAAAACGGCTGTCTCTCCTGACAAAGACGCTTCTCCTGCTTGGCTCCTCCATGGCTGGCTGGCTACTGAGGTGAGCCAGTGGCCGTCAAACCATTCTCTTCTCCTCCTGCTGTGGGGCTCACTTTCCCCTCAGTGGCTGTTGCTAGGCAACCAAGCTTGGTTCTGTCAGTAAAAAGGCAGGGTCAGGAGGCCCTTTGCAGGCCTACTTTGGCCTTTGTGGGGAACTCATTGGGGCCAGTCCTGACTATGGTCGCCAACTCGGGTTGGGAAATTCCTGGCGATTTTGTGGTGGAGTCTATGGAAGCCAGAGTTTGGGGAGGGCAGAGGCCTCAGCTGAACAGAATGCCATGGAGTCTACCCTCCAAAGCAGTTATTCTCTCCAAGTGGAGAGAGATCTGTTGTCTGGAGTTCAGTTGTGATACCAGCTGATCTTTAGGCTCCACATGGAGGTTGGCTACCCTAGGCCTGGCAGCACCCTCTGGGTGACTTGATGACACCTGACTGGCATGACTTAACTAGGCTCAGCTGCTCACTCCTGTTCACCAGCAGCAGCCCCCTAGGACAGCCAGTGTGGCATAGCACTTAGTGCTTCAGAGCAGAGTCTCCCAGACCCACGTTCTTGCTGTGGAAGCTGAGTGGGTGATTTTGGACCAGTCACAGACTTTCAACCTAACCTACCTCACAGGGTTGTTGTGCAGATCAAAAGGGGGAGAGGAGAATGATATAAGTAGCTTTGGTCCCCACTGCAGAGAAAGACTGTACTTTTCTTAGGTAGAGGCTGCAGAAAGGGGGAGGAGATGGAAACCTGAAATCAGAGTGGCAGATAAAAGTAGGTTCATAGTTAGCTGGGAAGGAGATAGGATTACCACCTTCAGGTTGGGAAATTCCTGGAGATTTGTGGGGTGGAGCCTGGAGAGCTTGGGGTTTGAGGAGGGTGGGACCTCAGAAAGGTACAATGCCATAGACACCACTCTCCAAACCAGCCATTTCCTCCTGGGAAACAAATGCTGTCAATTTCCAGGTGAGGGCTGGAGATCACTCAAAAGTAAAACAGAGGGACAGTTTCCTGGGGCATTCAAGGAAGTGGTGGTTTGTCCTCTCCTGAAAAAGGCATCTCTGGATCCAGCTGAATTGGCTAATTACTGGCCGGTTTCCAATTTGCACCATTTGGGCAAAATAATACAGAAGGCTGTGACAATTCAGCTACAGAGATTTTGTGATGATGCTTCCATTTTAGATCCCTTCCAGTCTGGTTTTCAGGCCAAGGGACGGAGATGCACTGGTTGCCCTCACAGATGACCTCCGAAGGCATATGGATCGGGGTGGCTCAACAATGCTATTGTTGTTGGACCTGTCGGCAGCATTCGACATGGTCGACCATCAGTTACTGATCCGCCGCCTCACTGGCATGGGAGTTCAGGGGTCTGTCTTGCAATCGCTTGCCTCCTTTCTCCAAGGTCGAGGACAAAGGGTGGTGCTAGGGGAACAGCTATCCCGAAGGCACCCACTGAATTGTGGAATGCCTCAAAGGACGGTGTTTTCCCCAATGCTATTCAACATCAATATGTGCCCCCTTGTCCAGATTACCGAGAGGCATGGGCTGGGATGTCACCAGTATGTGGATGACACCCAACTCTATCTGTTGTTGGGCGGCCAGTCTGACTCCAGACCAGAAGATCTGAAATGGTTGTTACAAGCTGTGGCTGGATGGCTTAGACTGAGCCGACTGAAATTGAATGCAATGAAGATGGAGGTCCTGTGCCTGAGCTGGAGCAGCCTGGGGGTAGGGATCCCACTCCCAACCTTCGATGGGGCACTGTTGGTGCCAGCGCCAGAGGTTAGGAGCCTGGGAGGGCTCTTGGATGCCTCCTTAACAATGGAGGGCCAGGTAGCAGCCACTGCCAAGTCAGCCTTTTATCGTCTTCAGCTGATTAGGCAGCTGGTTCCCTTTCTTGACTGCAACGGCAACAGTGATCCATGCGATGGTTACCTCGAGATTGGACAACTGTAACACTCTCTACATGGGGCTGCCCTTGTTGCAAATCTGGAAGCTGCAGCTAGTGCAAAATGCTGCAGCCAGGCTCTTGATCGGTCTCCCCATGCGGGAACACATTCAGCCTGTGCTGAAGGCATTGCACTGGCTGCCAATAGCATACCGAATCCACTTCAAGGTGTTGGTTCTCACTGTTAAAGCCCTTTATTGTCAGGGACTAAAAGAGGAAATAGTGGGGGAGGGGAAAATCAGATTTCTTCCCTCCTTGTGGATCCCCTGCTTGTTCAGTGACTAATTACTGCAGTACAATGCAGTGGCAAATGGTTCTTCAGGGTGTTTTTTGGGTCCCAAAATAGACTGGCCCTCCTGGGGCCGAAGGATGCCATGCTAGCCACAACCAGGGCCAGGGCATTCTGACACATGTTATTCTTGTATAAAGTAACTACTGGATTAAGACCTGATGTACACTCAGGGTTTTGGGTGCTAGCCACATATCTAATGAGCTACTTATATTTATATAACTACATTTTTATTTGGTTTTTGGTCCTTATTGGTTTCATAAAGTTCTCACTTTTAAAAAATTACATTAGTTTCTTTTCAAGAATTCCTCTTTGCTTTCCTGGGATGATCATTATGTGTTCCATTTGCATTTGATGACTAGGAAATTGCTAATTTTCTTTCATTCCAGATTTTACTTTTAGTTTTTAATTGCTGAATATTTGAGTACAACTAGCTATACCCAAAGGACAATACAATGTTTGTACTCATAGCAGAAAGTTGTGTCTCCAGTTTTATGATGCTAAAAGTTATGGGCTCAAAGTATTAAGTTCCGTAATACTTATTAAGAGATTCTGGCTACAGTTGATATTATTTAAGGTGATATTATTTGTGCCATAAATGTGTGTAGCACAAGAAAAAAGGTTTCTTGTGTCCCAACCAGTTTACAGTCTATAATTCAGCTGAGGGAGGACACAAGGGAAGGGGAGGGAAATTTAGGCAGGGGTAGATGGGAAGTGGGAATTATGGGAATGTACCAAAGCCTTCTAGGAAAAAGTAAGTTTTGATCAAGAATTTCAGAGGAAGGGAGACAATATTATACAGGTATTCGAGGGGGCAGTTCCAGACATAAGGAGCAGCATGGGGGAGAGGGCCAGTTAAAATAAAGAAGTTTTCAATTCCTTTTATTTCAACGAGATAATTTGCTTAATATTTTCCCACTGAATGAGGTGTTTATATTTGGTTGGATTATGCCTTCCATTTTTAGCAACATTTATCATCTTAATCTCTCAGTCATTTCAATTAGTTGCACAACTACAGTGAAATACACATCTTCTGCTAATATAATTTGCTTTTTTAGAGCCAGTTAAGGTAGTTCTGCTGCCATTATGGGTCTTGGGATGAGTCCCGTGGATGTTGGCATGTAA